AAAGTTAAACAAGAATCCCAGGCCAATGTCGTTACAAAAATACAATGATTTAATGATACTATGTGCTGGAAACATCACATGTTTTGTTCTACAATTCGTTGCCACACACACAAGCATAGTAGGTATTTAATTAGAATTCATGTCAATTTTAAGTAGGGCATTGTTGCTATATAATAATAGATTGTGCGCATATTCTTTTATAAAAAAATGAATTAATTAAATACCGCCTTCAATTTCATTCTAAAACCCATGATCAAATATAATCATAGAGTGGAATATCTGGTTTAATGTACAATCTAGAACTTTTATTTATTTTTACGACAGGGCCTATCCTTTTTAATATCATTTTTAATGAAATCACGTACAATTACAAAAATTGCAAAATATCCCATTATTCCACATTAACTTACCTGTGTTACTTTGAAGAAATAAGCCCCCTTGATGACAATAGCGATAATATATTATAAATAACAGTCGGTGACATTTTTAAATAAATTTATTGAAAGAAATTTTCCATTATACTCTTGCCTCTTGTTATATTCAATATAAAATGTCCCGCTGCATTTTACCTATGATTTAGATTTAGAGCGCACATCCTGATTCGATCAGGCGACCTCTAAAAGGGACGCGTATAAAAATACCTTCGTGTTCATTAGCGTCTCGGTGATATTTTTTTTATAAATGTTTAATAGATGGTCTGATGTGTTTGTGGGCCATTGGAGACGGTTTACATCAGCATATCGGTGGAAGGTTCTAAGTAACTGCAGCGGTATTTGGTGTGAATATTTAGAAGTGATTCCAATTTTTGTTGCACCACAAAAGTGGCTCACCAACTCTACCCCTAATTCCAGTGAGCTCATTCGTGACACTGTGTCAGACGGGTTTGTTTATTTGTAAACACAAATATAGCAAAGCACATTCTGAAATTGAAGAATGTGAAGATTTTAGTTTTAACACCACTTGTGTTCAGCAATCCTGAAGAGTTGATTTGTTGGTTTTTAATAAGTTATCTAACACTAAGTTTGGCAACATTTGTCTAAAAACACGAAATCCATCCAAATCTAACTGAATGAATGAAGTGTGATCATCACAGCCGAGAAACGCCAAAATCCTATACCTAAAATTCACCAAAAACGTCCAGCTGCTCTCAAACCCCTGCCTCATCTACTGAAGACGCCTAAAGTGACTCGCGACAATCAATAATGAAGGTGAAGTTTTAAAATGACACTTTCCTTATGCCTGAGCCGTGCATACCTGGGTATTTTAGAGTAGGGAGTAAAACGACGCCATTAGAGAACAATTTTTGTTGAAACTTTTAATAATATAGTGTACTAAAAACAGATTTGAAAAAGTACGATAAGTAATTTTTTTAATAGTGATTTAAAATCTCAATTGAGGGAAAATAAATTAAAACAAAAAATAAAATTGAGCACTTTAAAAATGTTGTTAAATTTTATGTATTACATAGTTGGTGCGTAAAATTTAATAATATTTTTGGACTAGGTTTTTAAGTTAAATAATTTATTTCATATATTTTTTAATAGATTAATAAAATGTTATGTTTTGTTAAGCATTACTTAACACTTAACAAAACAGAATTTATACTTGAAATTTTGTAAAGCTTAAATCAACACATCAAATTTTCTACCTTGTCGATATTAAGCAAAAATACCTGATATTTATTTCTTGTTGATCTTCAGTTTGTTGTTTATTTTTTAATAAAGATTACTAGAGAATGTTTTGCTTAGTTGGTAAGTATTTTTTTAATAAAATTTTAAATTCAACGACCCATTCTTGTTTTTGGTTCACTGCCACTATCCAATAATTGCTTGTGTATTTTGATTGTGTTTTTAAATAATCCATTAATAATTATTGCTTAATTATTAAAAGTTTGTTGCATTCGTTAAACAAAAAGCTTTTCATTCGTTTCGTTTGGGGAATGATGGATTCAGTTTTTATTTATTCATAGTGTATAATTTAAATACTGAACTTCGGTTTAGCATTTGGTCCCGAACTTTATCCGTAATAGATTCTGTCGATAAACGTAAGCTAATAATTAATGCTAAACCTGTCGCTGTCGCCATTAAGATTAATGTATCATTAATTTACATTGCCCTATAGTTTATAGTGACTAAACAGTTAGATATATCTCAAACCGATCACCTATTTTAGTAGTCAGTTTGGCAAAAACCTTTTTGATTCCAATAAATTTGTTTCTTACACTCACATGCCTCCAACGACTTGTCATATCTGTGACTACTATGATCAGTAATTGGAATTTATGGTTCAAATTCATTCCCTAAACCAAAGCCAGTTGGTTATATACAACGTTTGCAGGCCAATTATGCGAAGCTTTGGTATTGTTAAATATTTGAATAATTCATACCGGAATGTTATCGTAGATGGACATTGCATGCTTTGTTGATTTTTGCGTTTTTTTACCTTTGACAGTGCTACTGGCTTTTGCTAGAAAAAAATCACATTTTATTTTGTTAGTTGGGATCGTGTCCGTAAAACGTAGAAAGCAAGGATTAAATTCTAACCCAATTTAGACCTGGGAATGTAATACGTTAGGTATTTGTTTTTGTTTCGAAAATGAACGAAAAATGTGTAATGAAAATGTATAATATTTATCTATATTTCATAGGTTGACTGTGAATAATGCTTTTTCCAATTTTTCACCTCATAAACGAAACAAAATTCAAATATACCAATACAGTTTTAGAATTGCTTATTGGCCAAAGTCATCTTTTGCCATTTACTTCTTAGAAAATAACCAAAAAGAGTACAAATATATTAGCTGAACATTTTTCCAAAACATCACTACTCTACAAGATGTGAACTTAATATACGTTTTTGAGCCAAAAATACTTTATCGGCATTTACAGATGCTCCCCACAATAGTGTCTTTTTAGCATACAATCGGCATTAAACCTCTTGCGTCCCGTCTGGTTATTGCACCCTCTCACTCTTTCTTTAGGAAAGGTTTCGAAAATATTAATTTACAGATCCTTATGAAATTTAGTTATGACTTATGATGTCCAAACGTTTCGGTTTTCTTACACGTATCGCCGTAATAGTAGTTCTACCGTGGAGCTTTACTTTGTAAGAATCTATTCAGCAACTTTCAGCAAAAATTCCCCACTACACAATATTCTACAACTTAAATATCAATAACTGACTGATTTCCAGCTCTAATTTAACTTAAACTAATTCATAATTATTTCACTGAACTGTATGTAATCTTCAGGAAAATGAAACTCTGCCTTTTGTAATTTGTGGAGTTTTTTGTGGAACAACAGAGTTCATGTCGATTCTAAAACTTAGATCCTTTCTCATTCATGAATGGCATATATTTTTTTTATCATCAGTTTTCAGGAAATGTTTCGTAATTCAGTATTTCTGTTGGAATTAACATTACCTTCTGCATTAAGGTTTAGAGATTCTTGTAATAAGAATAAACAATAAATAAGAGTAACACTAAAACAACTACATAAGCAGATCAACAGTTAAAAATTTAACAATTTGGAGAATCTAGAAATGTCTAAAATTGAACTAGATATCATAACAGCTTTTAATGGTAAATCTGCATCAACAGATCTTGCAGCTACAAAAGATCCCAGTTCTGCTACCACATCAGCAAGTTGCTATCGAGAAAAATGTTCCTTTATTTTTATACCTTGCTTTAGTTTTTCGGTAATATCTCAGGTTCGACAAGAAATAAAAACTTACGATTTTAATTCTTGCTTTATATTTCAGTCCCTTACAAAAATATTTACAGAGCGCCACCTACCGAGCTCGATAAAACGCCCACAGACATCGTCTGCAGTGTAGCTTATCGACAATCGAAGCCCCTTCTAAATTAACTTTACTTAAAAAAAATCAGAAAAAGAAATAGAAAAATAGGAAATTTACATAATCTCTATTTTCTAAATGAATATTATTCTTTCTTATATTTTGTTTCAAATGGATTCTTCCTGCGTCGGTTGTTGTTGATTCAAACTTGCTAATGTTTCGCCAAATCATCCTGTTGGCTGCTTCAGAACTTAACTGAAACTGGCTAGCATTTTACTCTATACCTACTTAAATATTGTTTGAGGGGGCGGAGCTAATATGGGAATCGTCTCTGATGACTGATTCCCATATTCGTTACAGGTCAAAACCTGCGTCGTGGTTAAGAGTGTTAAGTTGCTTATAGATTTCTATAGATTTTCAGATTTTTCGTTGATAGAACAATCTTAACCGCGAATCAGGTGTTTACCTGTCACCAATATGGGAAAAACCGACGCAGAAGGAATCCATAAGTTTTATTAATAGTATTACAGTAGCCTGTGGAAGTTTCTTTTTGAAAAAAAAAACGATACATTCGTTCTTTTCTACTCTTTTCTACAAAATGGGCATGGTCATGGCCAAATAAACTCGTGTGTCTATTATTTCATTAAAATCCGAAGTTTGTCGGTTCGTTTTCGTTGAATTTTTGTTTTCATAGTGTATTCTTCACTTATTCAATCCTAAATGTTAAAAACACGATTAACTTAGAAATTACACATGTTGGACACTTGCAATGATGGTAAAGTATTTTCTCCATGGAAAAGCTGCTGCTCTTAGAACCCTTGATAAAAACTATCCTTTGCATCCCTGTTTTCACAGTACAAACTACAGCATTTACAGACTTGCTAAACTACACTACTGTACTACTGTTAGATCAAGTCTATAATAATTTCAGATACAAGCTTAAAAACTTACTAGTACATATCAGTAGTACTATGACTCCTTTTTTATTACTCTGAATTGATCTACTTTTTTTGTAAATAGACTATTTTAAATTTACTTCATTTACTTAATTTAGTTAACTTACTCTATGCACAGTTTTGCGACTTTCATCCCTCACGCTCATGTGCAATTTTGCTATTGTATACCCAGGAGTAAAAGTTTTTTTAGTTTGCTAGCATGTAATTCTAATCTACTTTATTATTGCTTGGATCATTTCTTGGTTTCAGGAGAGTCCACATCACGAAAACAACACTGCAGCAACTAGGCGATAGATTTGAAGTAGAACCAGGTAACGGTGCCAGTAGGGAAGGTTATCTCGCCGACCACAAAATTGAAACGTATCTCATCATACCACCAAGGGTAAGCCATTTCTGATGATCATCATGTTTATTTATATTTGAAAATTAAGAAGTTCAAAGTCTAGGTAGTAGTCAAAACAAAAAGAGAAACTGCCCTCAAACGACTGTAGCTATTGTGTTTTTGTATATGACATCAGCGATGGTAATTTGTATTACCAACGTGATGTCATGTATATTATTGCAAAATTAGATTGCATTTGTTTATTTTCGTTTACTAACCGTAAGTTATGAGTTTCAAAATATAAAAATGACCAAGCTTTGTCGTAAAATGGCATGAATTCGTTTTTACTTGGGCATTGTGAAAACACAAGCGTATAAAAGACTGCCCTAACGCCTAATTTTTCAAAGAACAGGCTACTGTAATACTATTTACAAAACATCTGCGTCGGTTGTTGAATCAAATTTACCGACGTTTCGCCAATCATCCTGCAGACTTCTTCAGAGCTTAACTGAAACTGACGCATTCTACTCAGTACCTGCATATATATTTTCTTAGACTTTTAAACTCTATATACCCTAATATACGTTTTATTACTGAATTAGAAACTAATAATAATTTGCCATTCTTAGATATTCCTATCAATAGAAAATCAGACTTAACATTTGGTCATTCTGTTTGCAGAAAACCTACGCACACAGACCGATATCTTAACCCATTGTTACATTACCACCCGGCCCGGTAATCAACTCTTTCTTAGAGAACTCGAGTCAGTGAACCCAGAACTAAAACCCCTTACATCTGCTTTTCTCTGTAATAATTTCCACATTAGAGACGTTTCATCAACAAAGTACACTTCACTAGAATCAAAAGTTGTAAGGAAATATAACGTCCAAACCTATTTACCACTTGCCCAAAAATCTCTCAACATTTTCGATCCGTCAAAGACAAAATTCCATTTGAGATGCCACATGCGGCAAAAAATACATTGGAAAGGAAAGGAAAGAGCCTTAAGACTAAGATAAATAAACCGACGAAGGAGGAATCCAGAAGTTTTGTAAATAGTATTCTAACGCGCTTGCTAAGAAAATCCAAAATTCAAGAACTGAATATTTAAAATAATTTATTTCTATTTGAACTTATATGTCCTACATAAAATTAAAAAAATCATTACAGTAAACTAATATCACTTTTTTTTTCAAAGAAACTTCCACAGGCTACTGTACTACCTTTTACAAAACTTCTGGATTCCTGCTGCGTCTGTTTTTGCTGAGTCGAACTTGCTTTCATTTAGCCAATCATCCTGTTGGCTTCTTCAGAGCTTTCCAGTTTCAGTCAGGAGGAATTCAGAAGTTTCGTAAAGAGTATCACATTATTGTTTACTAAATCAAATTAAAAGCTACAAATTTATTTATTAATTATCTTCGTAATATATAAATATTATTAGTAATTTTTACGTGTGCATTAACGATATAGGACTATAGTATCCGACTGGAATCCTGCAGACGTTTCGCCAAAATCTCACTTGGCATCTTCAATGCTCGCGCTCCGAAAACACTTCGAACACTCGAACTTTCGGAGCGCGAGCATTGAAGATGCCAAGTGAGATTTTGGCGAAATGTCTGCAGAATTCCAGTCGGATGCAGGATTCCAGCCGGAGTTCAACAAGCGAACGGATGATATCCCGGAATATAGTGTCATCACATTTTTCCATTTTTTCCATCCGTGAATCAATACGTGAAAAAAAAAAAAAAAATATATATATATATATATATATATATATATATATATATATATATATATATATATATATATATATCTGAGTTAGTTTTTTGTAAGGCGATTAATAAGAACATAGTTTTCTTTTTGTTTCTTTGAAAGCCGCAACTGCGTGCCATCATTATTTGTTATTAATCTGTTGATAAATACGGGTTCTATAAAGTTATGTGTAAAAATAGCTTTGTCAACCTTCGCTTAGTACTGAATAAAGACGATTTATTATTATTGCTATTAGTGGATAATATTTTCGATCCCACGGCGTCAAGGCAATCCATTAAATATAATCCCCGTGGTATAATAACGGCCTCAATTTGTAACAAATATGGCCGTATAGGATGGTTTTAAAAACGTCCGGTTTCACTAACCACGATGAACAATGAATTGAAAAAAAATTTACAAGAAACAATGTTCTCTTGCAAGCCCAAGCGCAAAAAGCAGATCGAGATTTATTTGAATTTTTTTCTTTAGTTTGATATGTTCCTTTCATGGGCAAACCTCGGAAAATCTGAGAACTCATCCTACACAAAAACAATTCGTGCCCTTTGTTATTGAAATATATGGAAATGCGCGATGAAAAGGTATTCGTGATACTTACAAAGGTTTTTTTTTTCGGGGATACTTTTTTAGCTTTGTTTAATTTTTTATAAAAGTCACGACTAAAAAAATGGGCTTTGTTTTTCACCCGAACTCGCTGAATTTTCTGTTTGTTTAAATAGTCTGTGGAAATAAGGGCAAATAATTCTTCATATTAAATCGTTTAAATCTGGAAGCCAGGCTTTTTATATTTTGGGAGTTTTTGCACATCTTTTCTATCCAAACCATCTGAATAAATCACGTATTGCCCCCTAGAGTGGTGGTTTAACTAGTGTAGAGGGATATCAATTGCAAATTATATACTATTAAATAGGCATGTTTTTTTATCGTTTTTAAATTACTGCGGGATAGAAAGACAGCGGATGATGAAGGCGCTAACAGTGTAATTCTTTTTATTTTAAAAAAGAAATACCCACCGTAGATAAGATTTTAATGGAGCTTGTCCATTATGACAGTATTCCATAGATAACTAGCAACGTTTCATGAACCATTTTAAAAAAAATGGATTTTCATGCGATGAAATTGTTTACTGGTGACAAAAATACTTGAGAAGTTTAAAACAGTACCGAAGAAAGTAGGAGAAAATCTTTTATCTTGTTGACACGTGGATCAATGGAGGTTATATTGTGGCAAGACAAAAATATAACCAGTACTCGCCAAGGTTCCATAGAAGGCCTTTCAAGGTATTAAGGTGCCTTTTTAAAAACACGTGGATGTGGAAAGATAAGTAAAGGAGTTCGTTTCATTTAGCGATTTCCCTATCATTCATAGATTTAACAAGATTGCTTCAGAAAAATCGTCGCTGGGCAGGGCAAGTTTGTAGCGCGTAGGGCGAAGCTGCTTTTTAATATGAAAGGAAAGAACTTCGCGGTTTCGTGTGAAAAAGGGACGCATTGTTTTTCTATCGTGCTCCTGTGGACCACTATGGAACTTTGGCAAAATCGATGTAATTTAATTGTGCATGCACCCTGTATAAAATGTCTTTCACATCTCGTCGAACTTCAAAGTTACAGCAAACATCGGTAAATATCAAAATTTGCACAAATAATTGCTTTGTCGAATGATATTTTTTCAAATATCTCGCGCCCTGTATAATTGGCGAAACATGAAACTCTCACGAGACGGTTTACGATACTGTTCAAATAAAATGATGCCATTTTTAACGGTTTTTTATTTATCGCGAATAATTTAGCCACAAAAACGAAAATTTTATGATATTTAAGATTTTTTGCCCATAAACGACACTACCCTGTATATGATACAATCATTGTTCGAAGTAGATTTTATAGCCCTGGATTTTCCACACATCCTGGTTCAAGTATTTTTTTTTAAATAGGAAATGGTTTTCGAGAAAATAAGTTTTTTCTGAAACCATGCAGTGTGCCGTGATAATCAATGACGTCATGGCGTCTTGACAGCCCCCAAAATACCGATTTCAATATGGATTTTTTCAAATATCCCGAGCAGCGTATGTGATAGACGAAAACCGCAAATACAAAAATTGTAGCTCTTGATGCGGCCTATGACACGGTTTGAACCAATTAGCCATATTTTTTACGATTTTTGATTTGCGGCTAATAATTTACTCTGTAAAAAAAACAATTTTTTAGGTCTTTTAGATTTTTGCTTATAATTTGAAAACCCTGTATATAATCGAAAAAATGCCTGAAATAAATGTTATTGCACTGGATTTTCTGCGTCTGTCGGTTAAAGAATTTTGCCAATCGGATGAACGATTATGGAGGAAAACATATTTTTCTGGAAGCTAAAATTACCAAAAAAAAAAAACTTTCTTTTGTCTCGTAAACAGTTTTTGAAAAATGATGTTCTTTGTAGACCCTTACACGCGCAAATTCTTATTTTTTTAGAATACTACAAATAACCGACACATCCTGTACATAATCAAAAAATTGCCGCAAGTAAATGTTACAGCCCCAGATGTCCCACGTTTCCCGGTATATGAATTTTTTCAATAGGATAATTGGTTTTCGAGAAAATACCTCTTTTCTGAAACCATCCAGTTCACCGTAATAGTAAGTGACGTCATCGATGGTAGATTTTTTCAAATATCTCGAGCGGCGTACGTGACAGACGCAAATCGTAAATACAAAAATTGTACCCCTTGATACGGCCTATAACACTGTTTGGACGGATTACCTATTTTTTGAACGAATTTTGATTTACTTTTAATAATTTACTCTTTAAAAGGACACTTTTCAGGGTCTTTTAGATTTTTGCCCATAATTAAAACACCTTGTACGTAATCGAAGAAATGCGTGAAACAAAAGTTATAGCGCCGGATCTCACACGTATTACGGTTGTAAAATTTTTCCTATCGGATGAATTGTTTTAGTGGAAAAGATGTTTTTCTGGAAGCCAAAATAACAAAAAAAAACAAAAATAAAAAGAAAATACTTCGCGTTATTTAAACAGTCGAAATGCGGGTAAAGACATCTATTTCTCTCCTCAGTCTGAAGACGCAGATTAGGGGCACTTATTACGTGTTTTAATATTGCACGGAATATCGCGAACACCCTGTACAATACTTAAAAACACTTAAACACAAAAGTTTTAGCTGTGTATACGAGCTATATCGTGATGTAAAAGAAACTGACATCTAAAACACAGATTTCAAATTATTGCCAATTTTCAATAACAGGGGACCCATTTTTCAGTATTTGTGAATTTGC